TTTGTCCCTTTGTGACTGAGATACCTCACTCAGCATAATGTCCTCCAGGGTCACCCATTTTGAATAATATTGCATGAGTTCCTTGTTTTTCAATGCAGCTTTTTTTAAGGATTCACTCTCCTTGAAAACACAGCCAAAGTATGTGAAGTGAAGGTTCACCATCCTTTTCTGTAAGGAGCACTCTGGCTGTACTTTCTCCAAGACAGACTTGCTTGTTCTTCTGACAGTCCATGGGATATTTAATACTCTTCTCCAAACTATGACCCAAAGGCATTAGTTCTTCTTCTTTCATCCTTATTCATTGTCTGACTTTCAGATGTATTGGAGAGAATTGAAAATGCCATGGCCTGGATAAAGTGCATCTTGGTCTTTAAACTGATATCCTTGCTGTTTATCAGTTTCGAGAAGTCCTTGACAGCAGATTGTTAACAGATTAGATTGATGTATTAAAATTTTTTGTATTATATACTTACATACCATTTTAAGTTTCTAAGTAAGTCCTAGTTGTACCGTGGTTAGTATGCTCAGCTATTAACTAGAAGTTTGACATTTAGACTCCACTAACTGCCTGCCTAGTGGGAGAAATAGGCAATTTTCTTCTGTAGAGCCTTAAAATCCTATCGGGCTGTTTACTTTGTCTTATAGAGATGTTGGGAATAAATTCATGACAGTGGATATGGTTTATCTAGGATGCTAAACTGGTCTGAGTGTGTGGCTGAGATAGATTGGAGTAGTGTAAGGTAGCCTGAGATAAAGACACAGAGAGAGAGAGAGAGAGAACGAGAACAAAGACATACAAAGACTGTGTTTAGGTGGCAAAGAGAGAAATACAAATAATGAATGAATGTATATCAATGCACTGTTCTTGCAAAAATTAAGGTATGTTGAGCAGGAAAAGTTGAAATAGATGATTTTTAGGGAAATGTAGAGATTAGTGAATCCTGAACTCAGCTGATAAGAATACGGAAAATAAAATTCAGGTAGATAAGGAAATGGTAAAACATTTGCTACAATTTGGTAATGGAATCAATGTGGATAACAACTGTATAAACAACTAATTGTGATTTTTTTCTCTTTGTAAAAATATTTTAGGCAATCTGTAATTTAGAATGCAAACTGTTTTAAGAGAACGGGCCCATATTTGCCAGGGACACACAACAGCTGAACTCTGAGAAAATTAGGGTGGTTGTTGTTGTTATATGCCATTTGAGTCACTTGCAACTCATAGCGACCCTATGTACAATGGCCCTAAGCCCTGCTCTATCCTGTACCAACCTTATTTTCTCTGACAACTACCTCCACCACCCTGTGACTGAATCAGTCCATCTCATTGAGAGTCTTCCTCTCTTGCGCTGTCCCTCTACCTTCCCAAGCATGATGTCCCTCTTCAAAGTTTGTCCCTTTATGCAACATGCCCAAAGTATGTCAGAAGAAACCTGGATTAAAAAAAAAATCTTTGTGCCTAACCGCGTGTAGGCATGTGAAAGAGAAGGAAGGGCTAAGAATATTTTGCAGTGTTTTGTAATTGGGCAATACATAGCCTCTTGACTGGTAGATTAATGTGGGAATACCACAAATAGCTAATAGGCATAAAGAGAAGGAGATAGGAATGGCAAACAATCACCATCTAATATTTTAAAAAAATAGAAAAATTAACTTAAAACTCTTACTTAAAATGAAATTATGAATTATTGAAAAATAGTTCCTGGTGTAAAAATTAAGATTCTTATTATTGTTGTGTGCCATCAAGTTGGAATCAACACATAGCTGACCCTCCAGAAGGTTTTCAGTGGTAATAAATTACACCGGAAGAGACTGTCAGAGCAGAGGTGGATTCGAATAGCATGCCTTTTAGATTGTAGTCCAGCTTTTTATCCTTGCTAATGCTGTTACTAATGATAACCTCTCATTATAGAAAGTTAGATGAGTTCTGAGATTCTGAACTTAAGGTACATTTCTTTTGCTGACTGTTTATCAATCAGAAAATTCTGTTAACTAGCAATTTTACTTATATTGTGTAGGAGAAGGATGGACAGTCTCTTCCTGTGTGATTTACTGCCTCTGAAAACCCACTGGAGGTTTTACCCCTACCTGTCCTCACCTCTTCATGCCTCTCTTCCCCCCTTGAGCTCCTGTACATGTTTTTATCCTTCAATTTTTATAATAATGGTCTTTTGCAGTATTTATATTTATGAGACTGTGTTAGTTTACTCAGCATAATGCACAGTTTGGTGGGTAGAGTGAGGGAGTAAGCAAATGGGAAGGATCTGGGCAAAAAGGCAGGGTAATGATGAGCAAGGTCCAATGGTGATTAATTTTATAAAACATAATACATGAGAATGATTGTACTAAACACAGTGTGAATGAAGAATAGTGTGAAACACAATGTCTTTAAACTTTGTAAGCAAACCAGTTAAAAAATGTTAAAAAACACACCAAAAACTGGGGAGGGAAACCCCAAAAATCCCACTGGAGGATCAGATAAGGGTCAGTTCCGATAATGGACCGACCACAACAACAGCCTATATTATATAACAGTAAACTTAATAGTGAGCCCAAGGTTCTACTATGATTCTCTTTTCTTGAGGACTAAATACTTGCAACATTTTAATCTGTATATAATAGTTTTTAATTTAACCAGAATTTTTGATTCATTAAAACATTTCTTTTTTTAACCATGTACTATGCTCATGAGTCACAAGCCACTCAATGGCAAATAGCAATAACTATGCTATGTCATTTAATAAGATTTATATTTGGAACTGCTAAAATAAATTCAGGTTTTTTATAAGTTGTTTTTATTTCTCTTTTTCAGTTTTGTATTTATATTATTTAATAAATCAATGAATAATTGTGTAATATTTTAAATATTTTTTCAGATGAACAAGAAGATGAAGATGCCATCGTCAATAGAATTTCGTACGTATTTTAAAGTTCAAGTCTTTGGTTTCCTATTCTAAAGTCATAAGTTCTCAAAATTTATTGCTAATATGCTAAAGTTTGGGCAGGAAGATGGAAGAAAGGTGACCTAAAGTTTTACTACACTTATATTAATATTCTATACTAGAAAAGCATATACAAACAAATAGATATGAATGATTGTGAATTGGATAGCTCTTGTTAAAATTTGCTTAACAAATTCTAGGACCTGGTGGATTTTATCTTCACTGTGTTTAATCAGGAAAAGAGTTTAAGTTTGGGAAACTTCCTAAACCATAGAAAGAAACCTTTGACTATATGAATGGTGTACTGAGAGTAAGATTGGGATGAACTAAAATCAGAACAGACATGAGCATTGTGGTTAGTTGAACATTAATCTACTGTGAATAGGAAGATGGAGACCTAGTTTGTCCTTTTAAGCTCTCTCTCTTTTTTTTTTTTTTGCTATGTATACTTACTTAATGATACATGATTGTTGTTGTTGTTGTTATGTGCCATCGAGTTGCTTGGACTCATAGGGTCCCTATG